GGGGGGGGGGTGGAATAAAGATGTACCACACTAGTGTGTGGTCTCTGCATGTTATCTCCAGGAATGCTCGCCCTGGTTTTACCAACATCCCTTCCCCAGGCACTGGCACTATTTAGGCTGCCCTTCCCTGGAATCCCCTGATTCCAGGTGGGCCTGGCTGGCTCCTAGGACTGGCTGAGACCTCTCCTGATCACCAGCTCCTCAAAGCCAGGCCTTTACCCTTTCCGGGCTTTTCCAGCAAGACCAGGTTATAGCTGTCCTGCCTTATATGCCAGCAGGGTGTCCTCACAGGCTGGACTTTGCCTCCTCCACAGCCCAGCAGGCAGGTTCCTCATCTCAACTCCTCACTGTCCATCTCCTTAGCATCCTGTGGCCAATCTCAGAAGCCCTGACATGGGGTAGGGGGTTGGTAATATTTTTGAAGGAATAGATGGTCTCTCACCATCCAAGCCCCCAATCCTGGCTTGGTGTCTTCAGAGCCTCCTCCTGGCCTGAGATAAGTATCTAGTGGGAGAAAAACAGAGAGAACCAAGAGCATTGCTTCTGGCTCCTCCTGTCTTCTGACCCTGGGGCCTGCATTGCTCTGTAGGCTCTCCCAGGGCTTAGTTCAAAGAACAACCCTAGGTTAAAAGAAGAATGGGTCAACCATTCCTTGCACAGCTGCTGGGTACCCTGACCTCACTGGACTTCTGCACTCTGGAAGAGGGTTCCGTGAAAATCTAGGCTGGAGATAGGGTGAGGGTAGGCCAGAGTTACTGTAGGTAGGGCTGGATGGGCTGCAGTGGGGGGAAAGGCAGGCAGCACAGACCAAGGTGGGCTTCTCTCATTACCTGCCTTCTGTCCTGCAGATTGGAGGTACTCCATGACACACACTCGGAGGAAGTCCCTTCCCATGCTGAGTTCAGGCCCCATTGGCCACCGGGAGCCCCTGCAAATGGAAGGCAGCAATATGGAGCAGGGGGCGGAGGGTGTGGAGCCAGGCATGCCTGAGAGCCCAGGGAATCTCACAGGGCGCCGCAAGAACTACCCACTGCGTAAGCGCCCCTTGGTTCCTGAGAAGCCCAAGGCCTGCAAAGTGCTCCTGACCCGCCTGGAGAATGTGGCCGATCCACGGAGTGCAGATGAGGCTGATGAGCTGCCTCCTGACCTACCCAAGCCCCCCAGCCCGGACCCATCCAGTGAGGACACTGGCCTTGCCCAACCCCGCAAGCGGCGCCTGGCCTCCCTCAATGCCGAGGCCCTCAATAACCTGCTGCTGGAGCGGGAGGACACCAGCAGCCTGGCAAGCAGCCGCCGCAGTCGTGGGGGAGACCCCCACCATAGCCGGGACCGTGACAGGGCCGCTGGAGGCTGGTCTTCCTCTAAGAAGCGGCCCCGGCTGGGGGACCTCAGTGGAGGAAGTCGGGATCTGTCCCCAGAGCCAGCACCAGATGAAGGTGCCCGCCGAGATGGTGACCCAGCTCCCAAGAGACTGGCCAGCCTGAATGCAGCTGCCTTCCTAAAGCTGAGCCAGGAGCGGGAGCTACCCCTGCGGCCACCTCGTGCCCACCCAGAAGCAGACAGGCGCTCCACTGATCCACCAGCACTGAAGGCCCTGAGGCCAAAGTTGGCCAAAGTCAATGGCAAAAACTATCCCAAGGCCCAGCAGGGGGCTGGCTCTGGGGAGGCTGCAAGCCCACCCAGCTGGCAAGGGTGCCCTGAGGAGCCATGGCTATCTGCAACCCCTCGTGGGCCATCTAGCCAGCTACCTTACCAGCCCCTGAGCAAGGCTCTGGAGAGCCCGTTAGGGCTGCGCCCCCACCTGCCTCTGTTGATGGGTGGGCAGGCAGCCCTGAAGCCAGAGCCTGGGCGCCCAGGAGAGGAGTCACCTGCCCCCAAGCAGGAACTGCACCAGCCCTCTTTCCCTACAACTCAGCTGTCCCTCCTGCCGATGCCTGGCAACCCCGCCGACTACAGTGGGCTGTGTGGTCGGCCTGAGCTCACTGCGCTAGGCAGCTTCTATCTGTATTGCAGCCAAGATGGGCTGCAGTGTGGGGGCTACTCTCCCTGTCCCATGCTCCCCGAGAGCAAGCTGTCCCCAGTGGCTGCACCTACCGAGGGGTTTCTCTTGGCCCCAAGCTCAGTGCCTGCCAGTACCCCTTTCCTGCACCCTCCCTGGGGCTCTCACTACTGCTCCAGCGAAGACGCTGAAGTGAATGGCTATAGCATCTGTGAAATGTTGCCCTCTTCTCTTACCCACATTGGCACTACCTGTGGCGGCTATTCCTACAAAATGCCTTTTGCAGCAGGTAAGCCTTCCTGAGGATGGGATGTACCAGGGAGTCTCTGAGACAGTGTCCCAGGAGGGTTGGTGGTTGGGCTCCTTGGAGTCTAGCTACTACTGAATGGGAGATAGGGGCCTTTGAGAGGGGAATACTTCCCTTGTTTAGTGCCCCAAGCCTAGGAGTAATCCCAGGATGGAGCCCCTGTTTAGCTTTTAGCAGCCCTGCTCTGTCCCCACTGTATATGGAGAGATTTCTTGGCCTGACAGCATTGGCTTCCATAGGTAGCATTGTGGTGGTATAGAGGGGTAGGAAGGGCCTCTCCTCCCTCCCCATTGGGATTTTCAATCTTAGACTCTTAGTAGCAAGTTATTGAAATTAGAGCTTTTGCCAAGTTGTCCCCATGTCCCTTCTGTCCTCCTTGAAGAAAGCTAGAATTTCTTCTTTCCAGGAGCCCAGACCGTTCAAGTTCAGCCAAGTTCAACATTCATGGGAAGGGTGGGGGGTACCAGGCCCAGTGGATGGTACCAGCTGCATTAAAATGGCTTCACCCTGGCTGTACAGGCTTTGAAAGAGAAGTGCCTGGACTTAGCCTCACCTTGCTAGGGCTGGGTGGGGTGGGCACACTCCAAGAACAGACAGAGTTCCCTGGCACAGACAGGGTGCTCTCAGGGCCTGTGGCTTTGGTGTCTGCCTTCCTGGCAAGACCTAGACACCTGAGAGGCTCGTGATGCAGCTGATGAGACACCCCCACAGTGATCTCTCTTCCCCAAAATTGGCAGTAGTGTCCTCACATGCCTCTCCAGGCTCCCTTCCTGGCTCTTGGGTGGAAACAAGGTGACCAGCACCATCCTGGCTGACAAGTCTGCCCTGCTGCTGGTGAAGTGAGAGGCCAGGCCTTCCCAGGGCTCCCTTCCCCCACACCCCTTCTTGTGGGGGTCTATAAAACAACTTTATAGACCAGTTGACTCTGGCCAGACTGGTTGTTTCAGATTCTAGTGTGAGTCGGAGTTCTAAGAAATGAGAACAGGCTTCTTCTTGGGCTTTTCCTTCTCTTTTATATCACTTTCCAAGTCTAGACACCTAACTTGTGGGACCCAGTGCCCTTACCCTCTTGCCCTGGGACCATGTGTAAGCACCATGTGCAAGCACCCTGTGCCAGGCACTGTTCTAAAGCACTTTGCAGATGGAAGGCCACGTGGCATGTAATTGAACATAGACTGTGGAGCCAGACTTGGAGTGAAATGTTCTTCCCCCGCATGTGAGACAAACCAGTAACTAAATGTCTCAATTTCCTTAATTGTAAAATCGGAATAATGGTACCTGCCTCATAGGGTTGTTAATACATTGATAAGAAAACCACCTAAGACAGACTACGTGGTACTTGTAACTGCTGCTTCTATTGCAAAGCACTGAGAGGTAAAGTGACTTGCCTGAGGTCACACAGCTAGTAAGTAGCAGGTCTGGGATTCTTATCCTGGGCTGTCTGATTCCAGCTCCCCTGCTCCTAAGCACTGTGGAAGCCCTAGAGCTAAAGGAGCTGTTTCCCTTACCTACCCCTTTCTTCTTTTAGGCTAGAAGGGGAGATGGAAATGTCTGTGGGCCAGTCTCTAAGGTTAAGAAACACCCTTGGCGAGTCACTCTGACAATCCACCTTAAAGGCCCCTGAGCCGACCTGTCACCTCAGTGGCCTTTTGGTTCACACTTAGAATTAAGATAGGAGCAGGCTCTGAAAGCAGAGGCCAGGGCAGGGTTGGTGCTTGTCCTTACCTGTCCTTAACCTCTCTCTCCTTTTCCCAGAAGGCTGCAGGTCCCTGGGCCAGCTGGAATTTCCTCTCCCAGAAGCTGGCCACCCAGCCTCACCTGCCCACCCCCTCCTGGGATGCCCTGTTCCCAGTGTGCCACCTGCAGCAGAGCCTGTCCCTCACCTTCAGACACCCACCTCAGAGCCCCAGACAGTAGCCCGTGCATGCCCTCAGAGCGCCAAGCCTCCTAGTGGATCCAAGTCAGGTCTGCGTACAGGCTCCAGCTGTAGGCACACTGTGAGGAGCAAGGCTGCCCGCAGGCCCAGCCACCCCAAACAACCACGTGTCCAGCGCCCACGCCCACGCCGCCGCCGCCGCCGCCGTACTAATGGCTGGGTACCTGTTGGGGCTGCCTGTGAGAAGGCCGTCTATGTCTTGGTGAGTACGAGCTCTTAGCTGATGGGAAGAAGAGGGTGGCAGTGGGGACACAGGACCTGCAGGGAGTTGGGTCCCAGGAACCCTGGCTCTAGCTACTCTGAAAGGTAACAAGGGACCAATCATGCTGGCCCAGCCTGCTCCCATTTCCCCTACTGATCCTATATTGTGCACCTTGGGGAGGTCAGGAGGTACATACAGACACAGCTGATGGCTGCTATCTCTGTGATTCTCAGGGAAGTTATCTGAAGTATCTTTACCCCCTCATCCCTGTACCCGCTATCCCTTCTATTCTGGATTTTTTTTACTTATTTTATTTTTTTCTCATCCAAGGATATTTTTTCCATTGATTTTTTTTTTTTTTTTTTTTAAAGGGG